CAAGAATATTTTCAGCCTAAAATCGGCAGAAAAATAAGAATATTCAGCCTCCGCCCGAAAAACAATATTCTTATAAAAAAAGAATGTATTGCGAATTTCTGAGGTAACATATTAATTAATTCTTTTTGTTGTTGTTGTTTGTTTTGTTTACTTTGTCCCCAGCGTTACTTGTCGTTCATTAATGTTTTAAGGTTTGGCTAACCACAGCGGTTAGTCTGCTACGGATCATCCTACTCTGTTGGTTGATCCAAATATCCCTTTGGTAATTTTAAGCTTGCATCTGACTTGAGATAATCGATATCGGCGTAGACAGTTGGAAACTCCCTTTTAACTGGTCCCGTGTTGCTTGTTGTGGAGTGGTTTAGGTCGGCGTACACAAGACCACGGTAAGGGGAAGGCTTCTGCGTATAAAGCAAAATGTTAATTATTGGCAAGGAAAGATCAGCAAGGGAAAATATATGAGGAATAAAAGAAAAAAAAAAAAACAGGGAAAAAAAAGCCTGGTTCGTGATAACTTGTCCATCAACACTACAGGGAGGTCAGGCTTTTATGATACTTATTAAGGCGGGGGCACACATGAATTTAAGTAAAATTTTAGGAAGCTAGTTTAAAGAGTGATTAAAAGGATAAAAAGGGGTTTGGAACACCACCAGACAGTTGATTGGCCCCAAAAGGGCACCCCTGGTTGGTGGGCAACTGTCTGGTGTACGTCTACCAATTTCTAACTTCAAATTCTAATTTAAAAACAACATCAAATCTTCAAAATTTCCTATTTCCATAAATTTTACTAATCCTTTGAGAAAAATTATTTATCCCCAAATATACNTACCAATTTCTAACTTCAAATTCTAATTTAAAAACAACATCAAATCTTCAAAATTTCCTATTTCCATAAATTTTACTAATCCTTTGAGAAAAATTATTTATCCCCAAATATACCCTTAAATCACCAAAAAATTTACAAAACAGCCCAAAACGCAGCTATGTGAAATGAGCAGATAGATTTTTCACTGCTTGAAACGTGAACGAGATATTTGCATTCAAACCATAATACCCAGCAAAAATATGGCGTTCATGTTAACCCCCGCCATAATTTGTACCGTAACCTTTGTCTGACAACGTATCAATAATGGCGTCAGGTTGATATTTGGATTGTTTTTCAAACAACATTACACACAAGGAAGATGAGGGTTCTGGCGCAACAGTTATCAAGGGGGAAGAGAACGGGTAAAATAACCCTCCCACGCTTAACTTCCCTCACAAGTATCGTATTACTGCTGCGTCCAGAACCCTCATCTTCCTTGTGTGTGTCACGCAAACACTATAACAATAAAATCGCGTGAGCGCTCCAGCGAAGCTGTAACGTCTGTAATCAATCGGCACACAAATTCTTTTTCTTGAAGAAATGCCCGCACTGATTATATTCAAAAGTGCGCCTGAAATATTTTCGTATTTAACAAGTATATGCGCACTGTATGCGCCGACATGGCTGCCGCAAGATATTCGTCCTGCACACAGGAAACCAAACAAACCAAACAAATCGAAGAAAAGAAAAAGCGTTGGGCAAAAGTGCATCAATAAATAGAAGAAAGCCCTTTCTGCGCCAGAGAAGGAAAACTTGTAAAGGTGTTGCATTGCAAAAAATGCTATTTGTACGGCAAAGACTACTTCGAGTCTTTTTGCTGTACTGGGGAAAAAAACAACCTTTGCTACGATTGCTACAATAAAAACATTTACCACTATCTGGGATACCCAATTTATGACGTCCATGAGTACGACCGAGCCTTTATTAAATTTCATGAGGCATAAGAAAACATCATCGAGCTCGCGTACAGTGTCACAAAAAACGAAAAAAGGGGGAGAAAAAATTTTTTAACCAGTCGAGCGCCGAAATCTTTCAGAAATTTTACTGAGAGGCGACGACATAACCTTCGCTCGAAGCAAAAGTTTTGTTTTGAAATCTGCGAGTTGCGTGACATTTTCCTCGGAAGACTGGAACCAAATATTCCCCCAGGTCCTTGGCCGAGCAGTGCTGAAAAACATGGAGGACAACTCAAGATTTT